GTGCTCTGATTGGGATGAGCCAGGTGATCTTTTGCTTTGCAGGACAATGCCCAACCAGTGGAGCCACATAGGTCGGGGCACAGCGCTCTACCTTGATTATGGATACATGCGGGAAAAACAAGATGGCAGAAACATACACATGCTTCCGAATGAAATGCACCCTCTACAGGGGAAGGATTCCTCTGGGAAGGGAAGAATAAAGAAACTGGTGTCAGAGAGGACAATGTGTGCAAGTTTTTATTTCTAAAACAACAAATTATATAGAAAATAAAAGAAAACAGTAGGGTTTACAGGAGCTCAGTAGTGGGTATGTGGGGCTTCATTATTTCTCTCTGTATTTTTCTGTACGTTTCAAGTATTTGATAATTAGAAAAAGTTTCCTACTTTCCACTGGCTGAAGAGACTGCGTCTTTGAAAAGCACTGCTCTTGCGCTTGTAGGAAGACAACTGATTTTAGCGGAGGCCATGAGGACTGAACAAAGGTGGGGGGGCCAGAGACTGAGGCAAGACACCTACAGAGGCCTTTCGTAACTCTGTGATTATAGGCAATTGTTTGAACCTCCACTTCTTCACTTGCAAAACGGGAATAACCTCTGTCTCGCCCACTTCACAGAGATATGCGAGAGTAAATGAGCCACAACCAGAGAAGGAAGGAGTGGCCGTTGGAATAATTGCCGCTAATGATGAAGCCGTTGCTGTGTTTTCAGACGGGCACTAAACATTCATTATTTACTTTCAGGCTGATGACAGCTGTGATGTAGGCATTATTTTCTACATTGTTTCATGTAGAAAACCAGTGAACTCAGAAGCAGGTGGTGTTCCCAAAGTTCTTCCTTCCGGGACCACCCTCTGCCGACAAGAAATGGGCAACAAATGGGGGGTGCAGAGGGAAGGCAGGTACAGCAGTACCTTCTCTCTTTATTGAGAGGTAAAAAGTGAGCTTTAGGAAATCTCACGAGGGGAGAGGGCGAAGTGAAGACAAGCAAGCAGAGTGCCAGGAGGGGCAACCCGTATGGTGGCATGGCATGCAAACTAAGGGACAGAAGGTGGCTTCGAGAAGGGGGTCCACAGAGCTGATGGTTGCTGATGACCCCTGAGAGCAAGACCAAAAAGAGGCCGTGGCATTGACCAATGGGAAGTCATTGGGAAACTCAGACGGAGCAAGTCAGTGGACTGGGCGGACGCCAGAGTGTGGGCGATTGCGTGGGCACCATTGCAGTTGGGACTTAATAATAACACAGTACTGTGCAGGGAACAGAGATCACTGCCCAGCCTACAAGTGGTAACTCGATGTGGTTATCATCCTCAGAAGATCTGGCTCTCACACTCAGACTTCCAAAATCATTATTGTGTGAGTCGAACAGCTTCTGGGGCCCAACTCCTGCCAATCAAACTCATAAGAAACTGATTTACAACACCGCTGCTAATTTTCAATGAGTGAGATTCTTTCCCAGTGACGGAATATCTGTCCGCATTATTGACAGCACCCCCATCCCAGCACTAAGCGACTTGGAGAGCTGAGTGTCCATCCAATGATGGACATCCAATGGTTGGCTGGTATGAAATAGAACAAGAGGAAATGACTAACCCCAGGACAGGTCTCATCCAGGCCTCGGTGGAAGAGTCTTCTGGTGATCCCTCTCCATTTCCTTGACCTCGTAACTTTGAAGACCACCAGTGCTCTGACCATGAACTTTTCTTTTTCTAGTATACTCCTACCCTCAGTAATCTCATTAGCATCATTACTAAGTACCGACAACTCCCAAGTTAGGTCCCCAGCCAGACCTCTTGCTCAAGCCCCAGAGGCAAATATTTTTTGGTTCACGATTTTATTTTTCAAGGAGGTGACTGCTTCACACCCCCACCTCAGCCTCATACAGATGTCTCAGGTTCTGCATGTTCAACACGGAATACCTGCCCTTCCCTCTCACACCCGCAACATCCACAGCCTTCCCTGGCAAGTTGAGGGCAGCTCCGTTTTTCAAGTGCTCAGGCCAAAATCCTTGGAGTCATCGTGACAGCTGTTTTTCTCATATCCTGTGTGCCATCCATCAGCTAATTCTGCTGACTTCACTCAAAATATAACCAGAACCAGACCGCGCTACGCCACCCCCACTGCCATCATCTTGGTCTGAGTCACCCGCAGCTCCTGCTCGGGTTGTCACACTAGCTTTTTAATTGGCCAGTCCCCCCAGCCAGAAGGAAGAGTAATTTTGTTTTCTTGGTGGGGGGGATGTAAGTTAGATCATGTCACTCCGCTGCTCAAAACCTTCCCCCCAATTTGCAAGCACCCCCGGCTCACTGACTTCATCTCCCACAATCCTCCCACGTGCTCACTCCGCTCCAGCCTTCGGAGTTTCCTGCTTTCCCCAACCACACCGCACGTGCTCCTGCCTTGGGTCTCAGATAGTACCGGAGCTGGAATGCTTTTCCCCCAGGTGCCCATGGGGCTCATTCCCTGCCTCTTCAAGAACTTGCTCAGATCTCCGCAAGGCCCTCCTCGCCCCTGATTCCACGCTGCCGTGCATCTACCCTTCTCTTCCCTTCCCTTCCTCCCCCTGCCGCTTTTCTCCAGGGCTCCTTCCACCCTCTCATTTTTCATGTCCTCTATGATTTGTTTATTTATTTCAGGTACAGTCTGTCTGACACTAGAATGAAAACTCCACATGGGCAAGGATTTGTGGACTTTTTTCCACTGTGTACCCCCAATGCCTAGAATAAGACCTGACAGCATTTGTTGAATGAATAAACAATCACATCGTCCCTATCCCATGAGATTGTATCTCTCTAGCAACCCAACATACCTGGTTGACCCAAGTGAGTGTTTTAGGTCCCTGGGTCTTGGACAAACATCCACACCATACAGTCCCCTTCCAACTGTCCCTGTGTCATCCACAGTCCTGTCCTAATTTATAGGCTGGGGCTGGGGAGCAAAAGGTTCAAGCTTTCTCTAGGCAGAACGCTCTCAGCCTCCTTGAGGTGGCACTTGGGGCATTGTAAGTGGTTTTGCTGTTTTGGCACTTCGGTCAGACAGCCTCAGTGGTGGCATCCAGAGGGTGACATCCCTCTGGAAACATCCCCCTCTGTGACTGGCAAGGGATTGTCTCCTCAAAGGTCTGCACCAGTGGGAAGTTAGAGGCAGTAGGAGAGAAGGGAGAAGAGAAGGAAAAAATGGGAGAAGCAAGGGCTCGGGATCGTGGACGGCACTGCGCTGTGTCCTGGAGCCCTTGATGCATAAACGGAACGGGCGGTGCTTTGAGTCACGGTCTAGGATGAGACCCAGAGAGTGAACATGCTGATGAGTAACGTCACAGGCTGGCGCTTGCCTGTGTCGGGGGGCATGCGTATACCGCACCCCTAGGCTAAAAAAAGTCCCATTCCTCCCAGTAGTGGGGCAGCCTTCATTCTTCTACTCCAAGGTTTTAAATTTATTGTGCATTATTGCCCAGCAACCGTGGTGACAAACTTTACACTTACTGAATTTAACACTGACGATCTATGATGCATTCTAACCTGATGTTGAGCTTCAGGAGGAGCAAGAGGAAGTGCAGTCCCTCGGGGAATGCCAAGTTCCCCGATGTGCACAAATGGATAACTGTTTTCAGCAGGCACGTGAGACTGTCTGGCTGCCTTGCAGAGACATGCTCCTCCCACTCCACTGGACTTTTGAGCATCGGCCACAAGCAGCCCCAAGCCCTGAACACTAAATAAGTACGGATTCAAATAGATAGAGACAGAGAGGGATTCTGCCCCTTGTCCTCTCCCTGTTCGTTAAAAGTGGCTCATGAAGCAGAACTAAGTCCTGGAGATCGACTGGTTCTCCCAGGTTGAAAGGAAAAAAGTGGGATTGAAAACAAGGCCTGAATAGGATGCAAACAGTTAACGTCAGGACCTGCTCCCAGATGGTTCCAATCAGTGGATGGAGTTGTTTCCCTGACTTCCAGTCCTCTTGGCAGCTGCGGTAGTTTCCAGTCCTGTCCCGCTGGGAGCATGTAAGGGAACAGGAGTTTACACTTGACATAGCTCAGGGCCTGTTGCCGCGCAGAGGGACCAGGTGGATGGGGTTAGTTTTCTGATGGAACAGGCAGGATTTCTGAACCACCTCATGGAAGGTCTTAGGAAGAATCTGTGGCCTAAAAAATATTAGCAGGTGGCTCATCTGGAGATGACAGCTGTGGGGTGGAACAGGACAGGGACCCTGGTCTTCTCCACAACACAGAAGAACACAGCACCCAGGAATCCTGACTTCTGGCAGATTCCACTCTGGATGTAACAGAAACTGAGTATTTGCTATGAGGAAGGCGCAATTCTCACAGCTCTCCGGGTCTCAGCATCCAACCTGTATGAGTGGGGATAGGATTGCATGGGAGGCAACGCGGGGCTTCGCACTGGAATTCTCACGGGGCAGTGTAGGTGGGGGTGGGGAGGAGCAGATGGATGGCAGAGAGGGACAGAGGCAGAGCGCATGGCCATTGTCATCTCCAGACCGGCAGAGCCTTTGCAGTCAAGGGCCAAGGAGCAATGAGTGAGCTGTTCCAGGAGCGGAGACTCTGGAGCAGGCTCCCAGGCCCACACAGAGGAAGTGCCCTCAGCCAGGGTCATGGCACCTGCTGTTCCCGGGCAGCCAGGCCCAGTGCACTTAAGGTCAGGTTCGCAGGGAGGACCGGCCAGGCAGGAGAAGGGGTGGCCGCTCCCTCACCTGGCTCCTCTCTCAGTGCAGAAAAACCAGGACAAAACCCAGTCAAACCGTTAGGACCAGAGAGTGCAAAAGAAGTCCCAGGTGCCACTTGTCCTCTCATCCCATTCGTCTGCTTGACCTTAACCTCTAGGTGAAGGGCATCATTATATTTTTTTCTCCATGGCTGTACTTCCTATGACCATTTACAATTCACTCCCAGTCAAGAGGCAGATGTTGATGTGATTTATAAGCTTATCCAGAGATGCTCTTAAGGGTGACCCCTGGCGTGATCGACATTTCTAATCAAAGCTCTGACTCAGTGTACTATGGAATCATCTGTTTTATTTTCAAACATGTCCACACTGCATTGAGCATCAACACAGATGTGACAGAGAACCCCGCAGCCCTGTCCCAGCAGGCCATGGGTCCAGTGTACGACTTGGGGTGGACCGGTGCTGTTCACGGTGAGAGAAGAGAGAAAGGGAAAGAGGAAATGGACACACAGTATCCCCAACTCCTGTTCAGGATTCCGAGTGACGAAACGGAGGGACAGTGAGCTCCTGAAGCTCTTCTACACCCCCTGCTCTCACTCAGGTGCTGGGCAGATACGGAATGCGGGCGGGGGGACAGCTGGACTTAGTCAAGAGTAGGGCACACTGTTTAAATAACATCCACCCGTCACTGAAAAAAAAAAAAGTGGGGGGAGGGGAACAGGCTGTGCTTCCCAACTGACAGTTTACTTTTTCCTGTTTTATGAACTCATACAAGTTTCCAGGATGTCACAACTGTGTGACCGCATTCACAGAACGCCTGCTCAGTCTAAGGACCTTTTGTTCAGGGTGAAGCGTTCAGCTGACCTCTGGGAGGACATGCACAGAGCTGGACGGTTCTAATACCGAACGGCAGCCTGGGCTCCTTGATTTGGATCTTTTCACCTGTGAACCCACAGAAACACACAGGCTATGTTGTAAAGACTGAGAATATATTCTGTTTTTCAGTCCAGCTGCTTTTTACAAAATTAATATTTTGCAAGGTTATTTTTGCTTCCCCTATCTTCCCCCTGAGGCAGAAAGGAAATGCTAGAAAACTGGCAGGTTCTATGTCCCATGCCAGAGGCACAGAGGGTTTCTGTCTGCCTGGGGACCACCCGGGGGTCTTGGTTTCTGGAAGACGGAAGCCTCTGCCGACGCTCTAGAGGCCACGGGGCCTCTAACAGCCTCCTGGGCCATCATCAGTGCTGAGGTCTCCACTTTCCAGAACAAAGCAGCCAATCCGAAGGACTTGTGTCATGGGCTGAGAGAAGGCCACCCCTGTTGCTCCCCAACATCTGAGGGAAGCAGTAGGTCAAGAGGGAGCAAACCTCTTGGCCATCAAATTAGCACTGGGAACAAGGGTAAAGCAAGCCGACAGGCTGCCCTGTGGCCTTGTGGTGAGAACTTACATATTACCCAAGTTTAGACCTTTCTAACTTGATTATCCACACTGAATCGGGCTTTTAAAGTAGACCACACTAGACTGGAATGTGTACACTTTAACCGGAAATTGCAAAAGGCTTATGCCATTTGCTGACACAGCACTAGACCCAAAGACGCCATTGGTATAAATATTTCCAGATTCCTTCGCATTTCGACAATAACAGAGAATGGTCGGAACAAAGATGAGTACAGTTTCTAACATTAACGGAGTTATGTTGTCCCTCTTAGTCACAAATCAATTTACATAGTTGTGCTCCATTATCTATGCCTTTTTAAAATAAATCACCTTTTCCAAAATTTGTATTTTAAAAAAGTTTCTCAGAAGACAAACGCTTAAAGGAGCGAGTCTTGGGAGTCATCATTCCTTCCGTTGCTTTTGCAAGAGGAGGGATCACCATGGATTTTGAGTGGGGACAGCCAGGCATTTCCACGGGTCATCTTCTCCCTCCTGCTCAGGGGCCAGGAGACTGGAAACTCTTTTTTAAGCGTTTTGGCAGAAGGGCACAATTCTTCAGCTCTTTAGGGCCTGTGAAAACAAAGGGAAAGGTGACTGCCACTTCTTTTACTGGCACCATGACTAGTAACCCTGTGAGTCACATTCCTATTGTCCTTTTGGGGTGTCCAACCCGCAGCCCAGAATGGCTATGAATGTGGCCCAACATAAAACCGTAAATTTGCTTAAAACCATTTTTTGCTCATCGGTTTTTGTTATGTTTGTGTATTTAATGTGTGGCCCAGAAATGCCAAAAGGTTGGACACCCCTGTTCCATTTTGGGAACCTGGTGCTCTTCTTTCCAGATCATTCCTCCCGTGTACCTGGTCCTGTACAGCCACAGTCAGATGCCCAGGTATCTCCAAATACAGAAATCTGCACCTGCATTGTGACTCATGTCCCCCAGCCTCCCGGATCCATAGCATCTGTCCTGCCCCTGTCCCCCCGACTCCACAGTCATATATTATCTCCCCAATAGAAATAAGCAAAAGGTTTCCTCTGGCTATACATTCGAATGTTCTGAATTCATAGGGAAATTTAATAAAGAGAAAGAATGCCTTCCTTTCACCAATGGCCAATGCCAGGAGTGCCCTACCGTGTGTGTGTGTGTGTGTGTGTGTGTGTGTGTGTGTGTGTATGTGTGTCCAGGGCAGGACAGACAGAGGGTCCCCATCCCAGTAAAATTCCTCACCAGAACAGAGATCTGGCCCTGCATCTGATAACCTTCTGGAAACCTCTCAGCTACGATGATTGGACACAGGGTGACTAGGTGTCCAGTTAAAACTGGGTTTGGTTGGGTTTTCTCTCAAGTTCAGGGAGTTGGAAAATTAAGCCACAAGGTCAAATTTGGCCAGAGGTCAAGGGGAGTCAGCCAACAAGTCACCTCGGGCTCTGGCTAGCTTTTCTTGGAAATGATAAGGCCTCTATAGATGCATGTTCTTCCGGGTCAACTTCAGATGTAGTGCTTCTGGAGGGAGGGGCTTCTGGCCAGGACCTTTATTTAAAGGTTCCCATTGGTCCAGAGGCCAGAGCTCTATGAGTGACTGCCTTCGCCGACCTATCACATGGGTGTAAGTTATTTACTTACGAGTACCTTCCCGACATCTTCCGCACGACCACAATGATGAGTCCGCCAATGAATCCAATGGCTAGTAAGACTCCAATGATGATTCCAATCAGGGTCCCTGTCGCCAAGCCATCTGAATGAGAAGGAAAAACCATGAGCTCTCGATAAACATTGTATCGCAATGGCCACCACCCCGCTGCAGAGAGCAAATAATGTTCTGTATTGTTTGTTCTGTATCCAGCTTTCAAAGCGTGGAAACTGTGGGCTGTTCTGATCCCATTTTATAATTTCTGGGTCTCAGGCTCAATGAAGCATACCACTGGTACCGACCGAATGGCTTCACAGTTAATTACTGGGTGGCATTTGTGTACAGCTAGTCAATCAGTCCCATTTTCACTCCTAGTTCACAATAAATTGTGATATGACACTCTTCTCCACAGTTGCCACCGCAGACACGCTCATGTGTGGTTTGCTAATTTTCAAATACAGGCAACTCCCTTAAAAGAAGTTTGAAACCTCCTCTTGAAAGACTCTTGAGTCTGTGCTGGTTGGCTTCCATCCAGAAAAGAATGTAATTCATCACGAAGATTAGGTTCAAAGAAACCTTTCTTTTTTTTTAATCCAAAAAGAATATTTTAATACCCAAATCTAGCTTACCTTTCTCCACTGTTGTCTGTGTGTCTTCTGTAAAGAGAGGTAATGATACAGAATTATTAGGATTTAATAACTATAATTTAACCATTGGCACAAGATGAATTTACCCTAAGTGGAAGGTAGCAAAATAAAAGCAAAGAAGATAATTTCTTAAATAAACTGGGTCAGGGAATTTTTAAGCAAGCTGGCACATGCGCCTGTCTTCAGCACTATCATTATTGAATTTACGAACACTGGATGCTCTGGGTCCTCAGTATTTCAATGTACTTTACTCCTATCGACTTTCGAGAGCAGAGTCAATGTAACTGGCCCACAGAGATCTTAAATAAAGGGTCAAAAAGTTTCAGAGCTTTAGGGCAACAAAAGGATCCAAGGCTGTTGATTCTTGGCCCAATGTCAAGATCATGGAACCCACCGTGATAAGGTCTATTTTGAAGAATTTTCATTTTGAGAGCAATATGCTCTGGTTTCCGAAGATGTGGGCAAGACTGGGACCCATCTTGTGACATTACAGTAATTCCCTGCTTTTTCTTTGACAGCAAAATTGAATCTTACAGCTCAGTTTACTGAGAGAATATACCCTTTCTGTTGATACCACTGTGATTTTAGAATTTCTATCTGCAGCCAAACCTAGTTTAATACTAGCAATGTGAATATTTTCGTTTACCCATCACATGGGTATCTGTTATTTACTTACAGGTATCTTCCTGTAAGTAAGTAAGTAATAAAATTATGAGTTTCTTGCAGATAATTCTACACAATTTCTATGTAGAAATGAAGGTGTTTTGTTTCTCCCATCAACCTCTTTGTATACAGAGTCCCTAACTCCTCTGGGGTGGGACACGGGGGTGGTATTTGTTTATCTAGTTTGCAGATGGAGAGAAGTCAGGGCACCTTGGTTTGACGATGCGGTGGAGCGGAGTGAATCAGGCCTTCCAACAACCTTAGCTCACAACTTGCAAACTACAGATACCCAACAGCTTCTCTAATCAAAGGTGAAATCAGCCGGCCATCAGCAACAAGCTGCTTGCTTTTTTCTAATGGTCGGGTTTGAAAGAAGCCACCTGCCTTGTACCAAGGCTGTCTTCGGAAAGATGCCTTTTCAAGATGGTCCCAGGGTAGGGGCCCCCAATCCCAGCTCTCCCTGTATGAGCAAGGCTCATGGCTCTGATGCATCTACCCAGAGCTGTAGCTGTATGTGCAGTCACCATAAAACAGTGGGTAGGAGAAGGATAGACACGAGTCCTTCCCAAATCAAAGGCATCACCCGATCAACTCCCAAAATGTCATCCCTGGCTGCCAAATACCAGCAGAGACAGGTCAATTATTTGCTTAACATAGTGGCTGCCACTTCCAGTCTCATAACATGCCACCGTCACCACCAATGACACCATTGGTTAGAAAAATGCCAAAAATACAGTTTATGGAAGATTCCTCACTAAATTAGAGCTTATTAGTCCTGCACTCCCTAGCTCCCTCCCAATTAATGACTTGACTATGATCACAAAATGTGTCATATGTGGGAACACTGTTGAACTTGGGCGTTTCATGGGAAAGACATCTGCTGCCTTAATAAAAGTAGCTCTTAAAAAGCCCCAGTGCTTACAATCACATTTTAACTCATGCGAAAATTTCTTGGGACACTGATGTTTAAAGTGGAAATATACGATAAGTCACACATTTTGTGACGGGGTGGGGCAGGGGCCCGGACAGAAGCATGACCATGAGTATTTTCCGGGCAATTGAGAATTTCTTTTTTTAAGGATTAGGAGAGGTATCCTGGGACGACAGAAAGAATACTCGACTCGGAATTTCCCATTTCCTCTGTGAATTAGCTGTCAGCTTATGTTGCAAATGATCAGTTTGTTTCCCAAAATTTGAGATTCTTTCCAATGATGAATGATATTGACGATGCTTTTCTAGCTTAGCTTTTTTCAGTTTTCTCAGCTGTTTGAACGTTAACCATTTCTTCAGCATCTTGGAGTGACCTTGAGGCTTTATTTTCAAAGCACTTTTATGAAGCCTTTCTTTTCTATTGTGATAAAATATAGATTACATGACATTTTCTGTCTTCACCATTTTTGTGTACAATTCAACGCTAGAAAGTACATTCATATTTTTGCACCATCCTCACCATCAGCTGCCTGCAGGAGCTCTTTCCATCTCGCAAAACGGACGTTCCACACCCATGAAACCTTAACTCCGCACCCCCTCCGCCCCGCCCCCAAACCCCAGGCCACCACCCTTCTACTTTCTGTCTCTGTAACTTTGACTGGTCCCTGTATGGCAACTGAGCAGAATCGTACAACATGTGCCTTTTGGTGACTGGCTTATTCCATTTGGCATCATGTTTCAAGGTTTAGTTGTACCAGGTATCGGAACTTTCTTCCCTTTACAGGCTGAGTAACATTCCATTGTGTGTATTCGCCACATTTTGTTTAACCATTTGTCTGCCTGTGAATTCCACATTTTAGCTATTGTAAAGGATGCTGCTATGCACACGGGTGTATAAATATAAAGCATTTTTTAAAAAATCCTCAGACGTATTATAAATTTTATAAAACCAGATTGGTTTGGGGGTCTGGAAATGTATATCGACAATAAAGAATAACTAGATTTCTAGGTGTTCAGAAGTGCATTTGGCTTTGGGGAGGTGTTTGGGTTTACTTCCATTTAAAGCTAGAAATATCTATCTACGATAGATAAGATGATTTATACAAAATAGCTCATTGTACCTATTGCAGGGTTGGTTAGCTTCTTTTCTCTCCCACCCCTATCTACTACAAAATTAGAGCATATTTTAAAAATGATTTAATTTTTTAAGAAAGTTCTAGGAATAGGAAGCTATCTCTTTCTATTGCCAAGTTGTAGTGGCAATGACCTTGGCTCATGCCTTGCAGTGATGGTCCAAACCTCATACTAATGGAAAAGACCCAAGGTCCTCCTCTGCAGCTTCCTTCCGAGATGTTCCGTCCACACGACAGACTGCAGGTGCCAATTGTGCGTCACAAGTGCCACCCAAGAACCTGGCCACACTGGAAACACCCTTGCTCCACAGGTGCAGACATAAACTCAATGCACAGTGGTAAATAGCAATATACAGTCTATTGGGATTTACATAGGTTGGCTGAGTTTTATGCTCTCGGTGAAAACACAAAGTTCTTAGTGTAGCATTTCATCACCTTAGGGTCAGGAACACAATACCAGTGGCTACTCAACCTTGCCCTTGTGGGGACATAATCACCAGCTGTCATTCAAGGTAAAGAGCTGTGTTCAGCCACCCAATAAATCAGGTTTGATTTAGCAACCTCATACACTGAATGCTGAAGCTCTCCCGTAAGGCCTGGTTCAGAATTCACTCGTGTATTCCAAAATGTGCCCTACTGACTGTTATACTTGTTCACGGGTTGGGGAATGTACCGGTTATGCAAAACAAGATCAATGCCTATTGGGGTGACTGGTGTCCTTACCCACAGAGCGACTGGTGGCCACAGACAAGGCTGTGGTGCTCTGGCTTTCTTCTTGGCCAGGGACCCCACCTCCTGGAGTCGGCAGGTCCTCTGTGAGGAAATCTGTGTTCTTCGTGTTTGTGGGCACCTGTTGGAGAAGTAAATGAGGCAGAACAGAAATAGAACACTGTCTTAACCTACAGACACTGTCTTATAAGAGCAAAGAATTTAAGCTGGCATACATATGTGAAGTACATGATGATATAAATTGAAAGTGGAAACAAGTAAACAAACAGAAGAGTAGAAACAGGAATAAAACCAAGCGAACTCCATCAATGAATGCCAAATGTTTACTGCCATGGGTCTTAATTCCTCAGAAACTATTGGATCTCTAAGCTTTAAATCTTTGTCTTCCTTGAATTGAAGTGGCACTTCCTCCCTGCAACATTCGGGGGGCACATGACATGGCACACATCACCTTTCACTGCCCTCTCCCTCTCCCCAAGAGAGCTTACCATGTGCCAGCCCCTTTAAACATTACACACACACACAGCCTATTAGTCCTGTAGTATGAACAAGGCTTAAAGAGATTAGAAAATATGCCCAAACTCACATGCTAATGAGACACAGAACAAGATCTGGAAGAGGTTCTGTTGACTCCAAAATTTATGCCAATGTACAAAAGCATCCAACAAATAGGGTTGTGAACACAGGCGACAAAGGCAAAAATAGATAAATGGGACCACATCAAACTTAGAAACTCTGTGCATCGAAGAACCCAACCAACAAATGGAAAAGACAGTCTAGGCAATAAGAGAAAATGTTTGCAAATCATATACTTGATAAAGGTAAGAAGCACTCCTACAACTCAATAACAAAAAATCAAATAACCTGATTAAAAATGGGGAACATACTTAGACATTTATCCAAAGATAATACACAGTGGCCAACAAGCAGATGAAAAAATTTAATGTCACTAATCATCAGAGGAATGCAAATCAAAACCTCTGTAAGATTATTGCCTCAAACATGTTAGCACAGCTAGTATCAAAAGAACAGAAAATAATGTGTTAGCAAGGTTGGGGAGAAATCGGAACATTTGTGCACTGGTGGTGTACGTGGAAATGGTGCAACCACCAAGGAAAACAGGATAGAGTGTCCTCAAAAGAAGCAGAAACAGAGCTATCATCTGATCCAATAGCCCAAAAGAATCAAAAGCAAAGTCGGCAAGAAGTGTTCCTATACCGTGTTCATAGCAGCACCATTCACAACAGCCAGTAGCAACCCAAATGTTATTGTTCGAAGCTATTAGAGCTATTGTTCGAAGAGTATAGTTGCAGATTTGCAAAATGAAGACATTCTAGAGATCTGTTTCACGAGGTGAATATACTTAACACTACTGGTACACTTGTAGGTATACTTAAAGATGGTTCAGATGGTAAATTTAATGTTATGCATCTTTTAACACAATAAAAAACAGGTTGATGAGTATCTGCTATGTGCTTAGCATGGTTCTCAACCCTGGGGACATGCTAGAACAGGGTCTAGCACGCTTTTCAGTAGAAGGCCAAATGGTAAGTATTTTCATCTTTGTAGAAGAAAGAAGAATATTTTCATTTGGTCTCCACTGCAATCAACTACTCAACTCTGCTTACAGTAGGAAAGCACCCTGAGATCATTCTCAGCTGAACAGGAATTGCAGTGTTCCAATAAAACTTTATTTATAAAAGCCAGTAGCTAGTGAATAATTTGCTAACCTCTGAGCTAGAGAGTAACTCCAGGGGGATGTCTCGGGAGGGAGGAATACGATTCCCTCAAAGGTTGAAGGGTGGCTTCTAGACCTCCTCAGTGTCTCCCAGAACCTGGCATCTTGTCTTGCCTATGGTAGGTGCTTAAGACACCTCTGAACTGACTAAGATTCATCAGGTTGGGAATGCGCAGTTGGGACTTCGCACAGACTACACCGGCGTGCTCTGTTCCTCGCTTCTAGTCTGTGTTTATCACCAGTCACAAGAAGACAAGACACTGTGACTCCACTTCTAGAAACTTTTATAGCCATGCCAGGGTTGCAAGGTCTAAGACCTTCTTGTATTGAAAAGTGGGCTGTAGCAGATCAGACAGCTACACACCTACTTTTTTACTAGTTTGAGAAGCCCTGGTATACATACTGTCAAATCACCTGTGATCAGCACACCAGCTACGTGCTAGCTGGATGAAATTAGGAGGTCCTTTTTTTGCAAGCCAGGTAACAATTCCTTCATAGGGTGGCTCCCACTGATTCCATATACTTAAATATATAACTGTAGATACATATGTGCGCATGTACACACACATCCTTGCATATGACTACATGCCTACAAACCAAAATCCTCTCTCCCTGGGCCACTCACCTGAGCTGTCAAGCCAGCAGACTCATAGGGGTCTTTACTGGCACCTGGAGTCACTGTGCCATCTTCCACACCTGGGTTCACCATGCCACCTTCCACACTTAAGGTCGTGGTGTCATCCTCTGGCAGGACTGTGACGGCTAAGAAAGAAAGACTGAGTCAGGGCTTACGGTGGAAGCAGTGGGGGCAGACCTAAAGGGCGGGCCACAATCAGGTGATTTTTTTCCCATTTCTTTTGGGGATTTGTTGTTATTTTTACCTTTCCTGCATACCACAAACCATTCTCCTTGCCACACCTCTGGCACAGGGACAGGCTGGTTGTCTCCATCGCCAAAAAAAGGAAGGTGGAAATACAAAAAGGCGAAGCAGCCAGCACCCCCCCCCACCCCCCGCCGGTATCCCACTGAAGCCCCCGGAACAGAGGGATGGCATCTTTTCCATTCAGTAACGAATCAGGTTTTTCCCGGTGCCATTCCATAGGATGAGTTAATGTTTTCGGGTTAACAGAATATCATTTAGACTGGGAAAAATTCTCAGTCAGAGTCACCCCGAAAGCGCTCTAACACCACCTTCACAGGTTCTGTCTCCAACCTACTGAACCAGGCCATACAAAGGCAGGGTCACAGTCTTCATGGTGTCAAGCCTGCGCTCCACTTAATTTTGAGACCGCTGCCCTCAGAGGTTACATTGGGTTCGACCTCTTATTTTACAGTTGGGTGAATGTCTACAGGGGAAAGTCAGTAATATAATTAAGGATGCCAGAGGTCACTGAAAGAACTCTTTTGTGCACTGAGAAGTATACCAACAAGAGACCTTCCAGCCCCTGCCCCTGCCCTGGGCTCCCGGGCATGAACACCAGATGAGTGAGGACCAGGGGATGGGTAGGGCGGGGAAATAGCAGGACGAACAGGATGAATTCTACAACTAGGCAGAGAACAGATCACAGCAGCGGCCTCTTCTTCACCCTGTGTCACCATGATCTGAACTAATCATGACCAGGCCAGAGCGCCATCTCAACTCACCAAATAACCCTTCGGTCATTAAAGATCTGACTCACTGGCCACAGGCTCTGGCCCCAGACACAGAGGGGATCTGGAAATTCTATGACTAAGTACAGCTGCAAAATAAGAGAGCACGTGCATCCCAGGACCAAGAGGGAGGGGGTGCTTAGGGACTGTTTTGAGCATGTAATTAAAGAGCGGAGTCCATATTCAAGCAGTGCTCAAGCTAGCAAGCAGACTTCAGACTATATTCCTCTTGATGCTTTGCCAGCCCAGCCAAAGGCACTGCTACTAAATATTTGATCACAACTTCTTTGCTGATGCACAGACAGAGAGAGCCTGTAAAAGGAATTCGTTTGTTCTCTTTGCATCTAATCAATCTACTACAACGGCTTTGGATTAAACTCCTAAGTATATGCATTTATTTTTCATCCGGGTGGCAAGACTTTTACCAGTTGGCACCAACTGAATACCTCATGCCCATGTTAGTCTCCCCTCTGAGCCATTGGCTGAGGTGGGGGCGGGGCAGGGTGGGGGTAGTCATTCGCTCCCGCCAGGATTTATGGATGTGATGTAGGCAAATATTGAATGTTATTTATTGAGCTCAAGGGGAAATATCCCTTTGCCTGGTGAGTAGTCCTTATTTAAAAAAACAAACAAACCCTGAAGTATCCCATTTTCTTTTCTTTCTCTCCTGCTATGAACTCAGTTAACAAACCACCAACTTTAAAAATGTCTTCTGGCTCTGTTCAGTGCAGTCACTTACTATGGGGCATCCTCTAATTTTAAAAAACGAAAACAAACCACCCTCGCTTTAACAAAAAAATCAAGTCTTGCATGAAGCTGGCCAGAGTTCTTTCACAGAAAGTTCAGTTCACTGAAAGCGTGACGGTAAAAATTCCTTCTGGTTCTTTTCTTCGCTTGGCCTGCGGAGCCAAGTGCTAAAACCACTCTGAATGCACAAAAGGCATTTTCTGAATGACGCTCGTGATTGAGATGCACGTCCTTTGTCCCACTGCCCTGGCGTTCTTTGTGCTCCATGGGAAAGCTGATCTTTAACAAGAGATCCTCCATCGTCTCGCCCCTTATTTTTGGCTGAAGGCTTGCTTGCCTGGGCGAGGAGCTCCCCGCCCCCGCCCAGCTGTCAAGCCTCCAGCCAGCCTTTGCCACCCTTCTCCCTTGAATGGTGAGACTCAGATCATGTGTTCTGGATGCCTTGGGTCGCCTGTCCTTTCTTCTTTCTAACACTTGTGTGCGCACGCAGGCAGCACACACAGCTGTTTATGTAAGTGTGGGGATGAACCTGCAATAACAGTGTCGGTCTGAAGCAGTGAGCAACCGTGCTCAAGTGACATCTCTTCCTGTCACTCCCAGCCGCACCCGAGGTGGCTCAGAACCAGTGGAAGTTTCCAAATTCGGTGGCAACCCATCCATTTACTTTGGAATTTTTTTTTTTTGGGGGGGGTGATATTCTGTAAAAAGCTAGGCCAAAGTTTATACCACCTATGAGAAGACATAGATACATCAATTTTACCTTAGAGATCTTCAATTTGAGGACAAATGAGAACTAAAGAGATGCTTATTGGTATAAAGGTGCTAATTATGAATCATTTTCATCTTGGCATTAAAGCCTAATATCTCTAAATAAATTATTCTAATTTATGTACATTTTGGGGATGGCATTTCTTTATAAATATTTCAGGATTTCACCCTGGCTGGTGGAGCTCAGTGGATTGAGCCCGGGCCTGTGAAGCAAAGGGTCACCGGTTCCATTCCCAGCCAGGGCACATGCCTGGGTTGCAGGCCAGGTCCCCAGTAGGGGACACATGAGAGGCAACCACACATTGATGTTTCTCTCCCACTCTTTCTCCTTCCCTTCTTTCTAAAAATAAATACATATATTTTAAAAAATATTTCAGGATTTCAATGCAACCTACACGGCGCTCTTATTGTCACTGTGTGTAACAACCCAAATTCTTGATAAAAACCCTTGAGTATGTGTTTTCAATCCTTTGGTTTTATTTACCTTTCTTTGATTTGTAGTAGTGAGTTGTTTCATCGGTTTACTGGCCATCAGGAATGTCTTCTTTTGTAACCATTTTTCTCTGATGGTATTCATCGTTTTCACAGTTTTATAGGTGCTTTTATAACTTTAAGAACACAGTTGCTGGAATCAACGCTGGAACATTTGTTTTACTGGTTGGCATCGGCACCTCTCTGTCGTGACTGGTGAGTTTTGTCCCTTTGATGTGACAATTACCAACCGGACCTTCAAGATTATAAAAGGATTCACCTTCCTCGTAAATTTCTATTTGTCCTGTGTTGTGAGGTATGATGTAAAATGGGAATATAATCTGATCCCCCCAAAAGATTACGCTGTCACTGCAATGAATCCCCTTCCCCCACTGCTTCGAGACCAGCTCTTGCGGGGACAAGGTCTTTTTTCTAACAGCTGTGTCACGGCCAGAGGAGCCTCTCAGCATGAGGACCAGCTCACGCGGCCGGAGACCTGCCGGCTGCCCCCTCTCCTACTGCCCTGCCTGCCAATTCCTTCCAGAACACATCCCTAAATCTGGGCTCCCCTCCCCACCAGCTATCCCTGCCTCCTCCAAGCAGCTGCCCATTGCCAGGTTAATTCCATGCCAGAAATGCAGCCAGCACCAACCAGGGCCCAGACAGCAGGAGGATGGGCGGGCTGCTGGAACACATAGGCCCTGAGGTCTCTCCAAGTTGAAGGCTCTGCTCAACACCAGAGGCACAGCTTCATAACAAGACCCCGCCCACTCCCATTGCTCAGCCACGTGGGGTCTACGCACTGCCTTGTGGACGACCACTTCACAACGGCCCCCTGGGCAGTTACACTGGCATTACTGTCTCCACTTATCAGACGAGGGAAGAGAGGATGGCCCACTCCTTGACCAGACTTTAGTCAGGTTCCTCTGAGCCCTGTTCTCCGTGAGGCTGCGACCTTGGGCGTCTGTGTCCGTCCTTGAAGCAAAGTCCAGTTTCAGCGAAAAGCCTGCTAAGTCAGTTTAGAGAGACCCACTCCCCCACCCCTGATATCTGACCAAGTTCCCCACCCGCCTCCTTTGAGGTCGAAGTCCTTGGCCTGCCTTTAGCAAGAATGCCTCTCCTCTTGGTGATTTTCCGTCAACCAGTTCCCTGCTGCCCCCACAACGCTGCTCTGGGCTATAATCCCCCAGCTTCTTTGTTGAATTCAGAGCTGAGCCCCATCTCTCAACCCTGTGACCGTCTTGAATGAAGCGTCCCAACTGTCCTGGCAGGTGTCAGAATAACTTCAGAAGTGATTGGCCAAGTTTGCCCAGTTGGTGAGGGCTCACCAGCACAGACCCAGAAGTGTGCCTGGACCTCGCCATAGGCAGGAAAGCCCACTGCCGGCTCCCCGCAGCCTCCCCTGGGGCCCCCTCCTCATCCTCATCCTCTGGCTGCCAGGAACCACAGCACCTCCGCTCCCCTTAAGAAATCCTGTCTGGTTAGAACTTCCAATCTGCGTATTTCGTGACCACAATCGCAATCTCCTCTAAACAGCCCCTTTCTGGGACAAAGGTTCCAGAAGCGGCAGCCTGGAAGGAAGGTGAGATTTGCTTTAAAAAGTGGTGGCTCTGTGAACAGCAGCTCTCCCCTTGGCTCTAAAGTGCAGGCAGCAGCAACTGTCAAGACTGGAACCATGCCGAGCTTCACCGGAATATCCCCAGGTGTTACTGTGTACCTACTGTGTGCTGGACCCCCGTCCCAGCACTGGAGACAGAGGAGTGAACAGGGCACAGTCTCCGCTCTTGTGGATTTGGGTGTCATTGGGGTGGGTAGAGGGTGAGATCATAACAAGCAAATAAACCAGGGAAATCTCAAGACAGTGCTGCTCCATCCCCTTCAGAATTCCACTCAAAGGACACTCTTGGGGAGCCCTTCCCCCACTATGCCAGTGAAACGAGTAGTCCCCACATACAGGCCAGGGTACGTGCCACTCACCACACCATATATTTACTAACTGCTGTCCCACAAGAACATACACTGTTTCAGCTCAATGTCCCTATTGCCTAAAATACATGGCACATAGGAGACACTCCACATGTATTCACTGAATGAGCGAGTGAGCCGCGGGCAGGTGCACTAACCCCCAAAGCCCAGAACGAGCTAGGGGCCCTGCACCTCGAGAAATGGGGGACGGGGTCAATATGGCTGGATAGTGAGACACAAGACTGGGGGAGCGTGGCGACTGCAGGGGGGAGGGGAAGGGAGGTGCAAGAGGGTATAAGGGAGATAAATGGTAATGCAAAACAATACAATAAAAAGTAAACTGGTGTGG